TTTCACTTTTATTGGAAGTGTGATAAAAAAAATTAGATTGATATTTTAATTACACTTAATTTGATTGAGTGTGATAATATTTATTTTTTATGTCACTTTTCAATTATATATATATATATATATATATATTTAATCACACTCCCTAAATAGGTGTGATTGTATAAAATATTTCAATTTGATTTTTATATAAAATATACAATTCCCAAATCCGCGCCTCTATTCTACCCATGAATGATAGAGACAACTTACTACTAGAAAAGGAGACTTTAGACACGGAATTTTTTCACCCGTTTTTTCATCTTCCTATCTCTCTATCTCTGTCTCTCTTCTCTCTCTGTCTCTCTCTCACTCATCACTCTTCTCTGTCTGTCTGTCTATCTCTCTCTCTCTCTTTTTTTCTCTCTGTGTCTCTCGTCCATCTCTCTTCTGTCTATCTCTCTCATCTGTCTCTCTTCTCTCTCTGTCTCTCTTCTCTATCTCTCTTCTCTTTATCTCTCTCGCTCATCTCTCTCTGTCTCTCGCTCTCGTTTATCTCTTTTTGCTCTTTTTTTCTCTCATCTCTTTGTCTATATCTTTTCACCCCATTTTTCATCTTCCTCTCTCTCTTCTCTTTCTCTCTCTCACTTATCACTCTTTTATTTCTGTCTATCTGTCTCTCTCTCTCTCTGTGTCTCTCACTCATCTATCTCTTCTCTCATCTCTTTTCTCTCCCTGTCTCTTCGCTCATCTCTCTCCTTTCTATCTCTCTCATCTCTCTCTGTCTCTCTCGCTCATCTCTCTTCTCTCTATCTCTCTCTCTCTCTCGTTTATCCCTCTTCTCTCTATGTCTCTCTCGCTCATCTCTCTTCTCTCTATCTCTCTTTCTGTCTCTCTCGTTCATCTCTCTTCTCTCTTTGTCTCTTTTTTTGTCTCTCATTCTATATCTCTTTATCTTTTTGTCTCTCTCTCTCTCTCTTCTCTTTCTCTCTCTCTCTCCCACTATGTTGGCGTTGCTCACTTTTTCCATTTCATCTTCTCTATTTACTGAGCTCCCTTTTGATTTATCTATCCACTACAAGAAAATGCACTTTTAGCGACCACTTTGTCTCTCTCTCTCGCTCATCACTCTGTCTTTGTCTCTCTCTCTCTCTCTTTCTCTTCTCTATCTGTCTCTCACTCATCTCTCTCTCTCTCACCACCCATCTCCTTTACCACCTTCACCACTACTGCAAACGCCATTCCACTACCACCATTACTACCACTGTCGCCACTTCACTTCTACGACTACCATTACTACTACCATTACCACCACTACCACTACTACTACCATCACCTCTCCTTCACCCTTGCCACTTCATCTACTCTACCACTACCACAACTTCACCACTAATCTCCTTCGCTACCATCACCACCACTACTGCCACTACTACTACCATTACCTCTCCTTCACCCTTGCCACTTCATCTACTCTACCACTACCACAACTTCAGCACTAATCTCCTTTGTTGCCGCCACCACCACCACCATCATCATCTCTTATCCACCATTTTCACCACTACTGTCACTCCCTCTCCTCTACCACAAAAAATTAGTTCATGATTTTTAATAACAAAAAAAAATCATGAACTAATTTTTTGTGGTAGAGGAGAGGGAGTGACAGTAGTGGTGAAAGTGGTGGATAAGAGATGATGATGGTGGTGGTGGTGGCGGCGACAAAGGAGATTAGTGCTGAAGTTGTGGTAGTGGTAGAGTAGATGAAGTGGCAAGGGTGAAGGAGAGGTAATGGTAGTAGTAGTGGCAGTAGTGGTGGTGATGGTAGCGAAGGAGATTAGTGGTGAAGTTGTGGTAGTGGTAGAGTAGATGAAGTGGCAAGGGTGAAGGAGAGGTGATGGTAGTAGTAGTGGTAGTGGTGGTAATGGTAGTAGTAATGGTAGTCGTAGAAGTGAAGTGGCGACAGTGGTAGTAATGGTGGTAGTGGAATGGCGTTTGCAGTAGTGGTGAAGGTGGTAAAGGAGATGGGTGGTGAGAGAGAGAGAGATGAGTGAGAGACAGAATTAAATAATAAAGAGAGAGAATAGAGCGGGAATGGAAAACAAAAAGGGGCGGGCATAAAAAATAAAAAATAATTTTTTTTTGGTTAGAAATGAAATTTAAATAATAAAATAATGCCGTTTAACTCTTTTTTTCTTTTTTTTTTGCTACGGGGGTTGCAGTCGTCAAAAAATTTTATTTTTGTTAAAATATATATTTTTTGTAGTTAATTAAATTTTTTTAAAAAATTCTTTTTTTTTAGTTACTAAGATTGAAAATTTATTTGTTTCATTTTTATTTTAATGAAAAA